CAGATGTAAATATTACGTGGAATATTTGATACGCAATTACAGTCTGATGCAATAATTGTGGTAGACGCAAGTATTACAAAATATTTATTTATACAAAACTCCAAAATACAAAATTAGTAATCTGTAACGGTATGATATATTTCAAAGCATTCTGGTACATGTAACGGAACTTTACACTTTTTACACTCCCACGTTGTTTCTTTACGTTTTTTATTTTTGTGACAAACTGTACAACGTTTTGACGGTCTTAATTTAGAGGGTGTTGGATCAATGTGCTTTGGAAAATGACCCTATTCCTTCGCGTAAAGTCTGTCTGGCGCATCTCCGGAAGATAATACGCCTCGTTCTCTATAAATCGGTTTTGGCATTTTCTTTAGTAGAGAGTCAGCTATGTTGATCTTATAGTCGACATAATATTGTTTCTTTCCATCATTCAGTTTTTTCCATAAGATGTAAGAATTAAAAAGGCCAATATCAAACGGGCGATGCCTGTCATGTTTACAATTGCCCAGATTGGCGTGTTACACAAGTCGTGGGAACGTCCCGAACGCTGCGCGAGCTTGTATACAATTTCGGCCCAACATCTTCGAATCTAAATCGTAGGTTAAGGGGTTAACACAAAAAAATTTGAAAACGATGAAACATGGATTTAATAACTTTAACAACGTTGCGGTCATCGATGATTCGACCGAATCAGCAAGCCCGCAGAATGTCGAAATAAGAACAACTGCGAACAGCTTGATAGCCAAGATATAGACAATAACATTGATAAGTGCTAGAAAGAGCATTCAATATTCTGGAAATAAAAGTTGCTGCCACCAGCAGCACGCTTCCGATAGTTGAAAGTAGCCTGGTCATATTTAAACCGGAGCCGAGCGTTATAAGGTCAGGCACGCCACACTGAATAATGCAGGGCACGCCTAACCGCTATGAATTCACATCAAACAAAATGGGGGAGGGGCCCCTTCTCCACCCCCACCGCCGCGATCGCTCGTTCCTTCCCGGCACTTTTCGTTTCTTTCGTTCTTTTTTTTTCTGGCATCACGACACCGCTCCGAACGACACCGTAAAAGCAAGTCGCGTGTTCCCGCCGCGCCGTTTTTATCGGCGAAACAGATGCCCGATAATTCCTTTCGATGTGACGAGGGGCCACCGGTGAAAATAGGCTATTTCTTTTTATTCGAAAACGTCAGCTGCAGAACGGCACCCGACTCGCCCGATTACCGCCCCTCCCGCGACCAACAATCCGTCAACAGTACGTGACGGTTTCGTCTACGATCAGTTCTCGATTCGCGTGTGCCGACCGGAGTGAATTCGAAATTCTATTAACCGGTTTCCTATCGCGTCTCTAACAAGGAGAGTGCAAGGCCTTGGGGTCCTCGATTTCCTCGAAACTTCGGTAGAAAGTTTATCTTCACACGGAAATTTCGCAACACGATAAATTCTCCCCAATTGTCCCTCGACTTGTAAACGAAAATGGACAATTCCGGAACAGGAGATACGCTTGTCCGAGCCTCGCGGCTGCGTTTTCATAGTTGCCGATAATCGTATCTCCTGTTCCCAAATTCTTTAGGCAAAATCTTTCGGCTATCGGTAAATGCGATACAAATCTAATACATGGTCGAAATCATTTTATGCTTGACATTTTTTTATTGTGTTAGAACAATAGAATTATTCGTATCGAAACTGTAACAAATATTTGAGCTGTAACATTATTTGAGAACGTTACAAAAATTGTCAATAATTCCTTGCAAAATGGCTACATCCTCTTCGAGTTACCTTCACTTTAGTTCTTCAATTCACAGACACGACGTTCGACACTGTACATTCTTCACGATCTTACAAAAACAACCAATTCTCACACACACTATTTTTCGTAAAACTACTATACCTTATCTATTCTAGACTATCGTTTCTGTTTCTTCCATTTATATTAAATAAAAAAACGTTTCACACTGTACATTTGTCACAGCCTCGAAATAAACACAATTTGTCATCAAATCACTACATCAAATCACTATCTTCCTCTCATCCAGAATTGGGCATTATTCGAATTGTTTCGAATAAATATTTATCGAAGATAATTAGTTTTAGCGAAATATTTTATTCGAACAACGATTATTCATTATTCGTTATGAATTATTCTATCTATTTATTCGAATGAATTCTTATTCGAAGAAAATCTTATTCGAATGAATTCTTATTCGACTAAAATCTCTTATTCGAATTAATTCTTATTCGACTAAAATCTTATTCGAATGAATTCTTATTCGACTAAAATCTTATTCGACTAAAATCTTATTCGAATGAATTCTTATTCGAAGAAAATCTTATTCGAATGAATCCTTATTCGACTAAAACCTTATTCGAATGAATTCTTATTCGACTAAAATCTTATTCGAGAGAATGACTCCTTATTCGACTAAAATCTTATTCGAATGAATTCTTATTCGACTAAAATCTTATTCGAATGAATTGTTATTCGAAGAAAATCTTATTCGAATGAATTCTTATTCGACTAAAATCTTATTCGAATGACTCCTTATTCGACTAAAATCTTATTCGAATGAATTCTTATTCGACTAAAATCTTATTCGAATGACTCCTTATTCGACTAAAATCTTATTCGAATGAATTCTTGTTCGATTAAAATCTTATTCGGATGACTCCTTATTCGACTAAAATCTTATTCGGTTAAACGTTTATCTAAATAAATTGTTAATCGATTAGATATTTATTCGACAGTGTCGAATAAAGCTGTATTCGTTACTCGTCTCTTATCCGTCGTCCGAATAAAATGTTGCCCTACTCTGCTCTCGACACACACGAAAGAAAAAAAGAAACACACGTGAACACTGTACATTATCCGGAGCATCGCGAAGACAACCACCAAAAAACACCGTCAGCCTCTGGAGAAGTAACTCGCAGTCGGTTCGCTCCGACGGAACAAGATGTCACGATCAATTTACACCCGCCGTTGCTCCCGATTCCCAGCATCAACTTTCGAAAACTGAAATTCCACGGTGGTTCTTTCGAGTTTCTTATCCAGATTCCCCTCGGTTGCCCGTCGATTTTATCGAAGTTTCCACACAACAATCGCCGAGCAAAGTTCCGCTCCCGCTCGCTCCGGCACCGCGCCACAGTCAAACATCTCCCGCGTTCGAAAAACGACTTGTTCCCGGAACGAAAGAACGGTTTCGCGGTCCAGCTCCGAGCTGCAGGCGTGTAACTGTCCGAGCAAATAAACGAAAAATAAATAAAGACCTCGCCTCGGAAATCTCTGGAGGGGTGTGACGCTCGCCGTACGCAAATACATTTTGTAAACATTGTCGCGACGTTCGCCGTCCGACCCGTCAGCGACCGTTCTCCTTTCTGTTCCCCGCGACCCTTGTGTCAGTAACCGTGTACAAAACGTAATTGCCGACAGCTCGGAAATCATACTCGACGCATACGGTACGGTACACGATTTTCGCTGCGTGTAATTTATTAGATCTGAAATTTCGCGACTTTTCGTAGATCGGCAGAATTTGTGAAACGCTTGCTTCGCGATGGGATGGAACGGTACCACCGGCCATTTTGCGACAGTCATGGCTAAATCCATTCGAATTCGTACGTCGAATCAATTCCTTTTTGCATCTGTTTCGGAATCTATTTGGGAAATTATTGGATATTTCATATTTCTTTCGCTGCTGACGAAATTTCAACTGAAACGATATTTAAAACTCTCGCATCCGTTCCGACGTTGGAGTCATATTTGCTCGAATTTAACGAGGTATTTTATACCCGTGCAATTACTGCCAATATTACAATGTAGTTAGGTAATCGAATATTCGGAAAGGGAACGTCCAATATCGCGTTTTTCAAGCTTTGTCATTCTCGCCGTGTAATAAAATAACCGTCGTGTTTCCTCTTGCCATTTTACCATATTCTAAAAATTCATTTCGTTTATTAACGGTTTCATTTGACTTTCCGCGCAAATAACGTTACTTCTTAATTGCTCTACAGCAAAACGAAGCTTCTGTACTATCGATTCCCTTGGTTTTTCCACGAACACCGTCGCTGGACTGCGGATTTTATGAGTTTATAGCAAAAACGGTTAAATAGAAGACAGAGAATAGCGAAGGTAAAAAGAGGACTATACTTTATCGGCAATATTGAAAGAAGAAGCAAATTCTTATCCGACCTCCGTCTTGTACAATCGATCGGGAACGGTTCTTTTTTGGACGAAGATCCGCAGTCTAATGATCAGTTCGGAAACCAACAACAATATCGTGGACACGTCGCATATTATTACGTTGCATTACGTCGATTATATTGATTATGTATTCTGCCAAGCATCACCGAACATCCTCTTGGAACGTCCTCGTACGGATTCCTCGATACGGACTCCTCAAGTCGGTCTGCTCAGTTTGATCTCCTCAATTTGGTCTCTGAAGTGTGTATAATTGAAAGCCGATGCGCTCGAATCACAAATCAGGCCGTAAATCTAGGGGCAAAATTTTAAGTACAATCGGGCCCGGGTTATTGACACAAAGGTGGAACCGGAAACGGCTCGGCAAAGGACAGGATTTACCGCGGGGAGGATCGCTCCTCGATCCCGAAACGGCGAACGGTAAATCACCCGGCTCGCGTCCGCTGCAGGAGACTCGGTGCCGCTTCGAAATTGAAGTAAAAATTCCACGAACACGAGACACGTGATTATTTAAGCTATCGTGCATGATGAATGGACCTCTCTCTCTCCTCGGCCGCGACGGGCAGCAGACGATTTTGGATTCCGAACACGACGGCTCGACGGCGCTGCCCTGGTCCGCCATTCTTCTCCAGGACGTCGAGGGATTTCGTCCTTCCCATCGTTTTTCTTTTCTGTTCTTTTCTTTGGACTCGATCCTCTTTTCGTTCGTTTCTTTTTGAACCGTTTTTTTTCCTATTTCGTTCAGACGCTGTACGGCGGCGGCCGCCACGAGCGACGTATTAAGAGCCGTACGTCTCATTTGTTTCAGGTCCTGCCACCTTGGAAGTCGGCCAAGGACGGCAGCATGTCCTTCAAAATTCGTACCAACGAGTCCAACGGACTCATCATGTACAGTCGCAGCGGTGCCCACTCCAGGGTAAGCGCTTTGCAATTTATCTTTCACTGGAAGAGGATCATTTCGAGAAGATGCCTGCGTTCGGACACTTAGACAGCGAATTTTTGTGCAAGATAAAATCATCGTCGATCGCAGCAAACACGAGTCAAACCATTCACTTCTCTCCCTAATAATTTCAAGTGCGACGAATACGGTACACGCATCTCCTTAAATTGTTGTAAATTTGTTATCGTTTCGAATCTCGCCTACAATTTTTATTAGAAACGCGTGAAACCCGTGTAGTCTACCGATAAATTGAATATGTTGTATTAGTCGAAAATTGATAAAATTTTCGTGCTTTAATAAAGAAGAAAACATTTCTTCGCGATATGTTTTAACGGAATTTCTTGACACTTTCAATCAACTTTTATATGTATTTGTTCATTTATACAAGTGTGCAACTACTTATTTTTCTAGAAACCATTCTAAATACATACATATCGAGATACTAAGTATACAAGCGTAGACAATAAAAAGAAGAATTAAAAATGATTGTCTAATACATTTTAACAGAATTTCTTGCTACATCTCGATGGATTGTTGTATCTGTTAATTCGCACATATGTGCAACTATTTATTTTCGCACACATCGGTCTGACCGCACAATCGCGCTATCAACAACGAGTATAAAAATATACGTAGACACATCTATGCAACTGTACAGATTTCGAGAGAAGTTTCAGATGTTTTAATAGAAAATTAAAAATTATCGTCCAACCTATTTCAACAGAATTTTCTGCTATTTTAAATAGTTTGTTGTATTTATTAGCGCACGCGTGTAACTACTTATTTTTGTACAAGTTATCTAAATGCACGATAAATACGCAAGTATGCATTAGAAGCGTCGAAACAGCTGCGAAAACATCGGCGAAAGCTCGGACAGCTTCGATAAAAAAAATGTGCAATATATTAGGTCTACCGGAAAGTTCTGACCATTTGACAAATGAAAGGAAATAATAGATTTTTCATAAATTTAGTAATATTTACTGTACAATATAATTTCCGTCGTTACTTATGACCCCTTGCCAGCGTGATGGCAATTTGTGAGCAAGATTTTTCAAAAATATATGTCTCAAACGAATATGTGCGTATCTATTGAAATCTGCGATAACATTATTAGACAGAACTTTCCGGTAGACCTAATATTTGAAAAAGATATTCTTCGGTTTCTCGAAAAACGCGAAGAGGCTGAAGCAGAATGCGAACGAAAATTGACGATTATTTCGATCGAACGCGTTCGACACGGCAACTTATAACTGCACGTAACGTACGTTCGCGAAATAGTAGCACCTGCTGCAGATACGAATACAATCCGGAGGAGCATTCGCTCATGGAATTCCGTTAATGAGCACACCGCACGAACTCGCGTTGCAACAAGTCCGCGGGCCGTATTCGCCGGGTATTCGCAACTTTCCGATTTATTTCGCGCCGTTCCGTACCGCGCGCGGCCTTGATTATTCGCGATTTTAATGCTCCCCTGCTTTGCGCCGAAATGTAATTCCGGGAATTACGCAGCGGTACCGTTTAAATCGAGATAACCGCGAGAGCTGTGAACGAAGAGCGAACGACGCGCCAACGAAAATGGATTTCGGCCTCGTCACCTGGTGTATGCATCACCTGCGCGCTGGAAACTGCCGGAAATTGCCGGAAACTTGCTGCCGCGGCACCGTTCAGCCCGTCTAACAATAGTAATTTGTGATTTTATACGAGCTGCGTTCAATAAATACGTGTCTTCGCCTCTTTGTGCTTCTTAGAGAACGTAGCGTCCGGAGAAATGTTTAGCCTGAACGAAACACGAACGTTCAACCAAATTATCTGTTGCGATCAATTTAAAACGTGCGTAAATTACTATAGTTTTGCTGTATACGCTTCGTTCGCTTCGTATTTTGTTCATGCAAAATAACTTCATTTTTATCAAATACATGATTTAATATCAATGTCACGAAGAAATGGTAACAATTATAATCGTCGAAAACAGCTGGTTGAAAACGACGAAGCTTATACAGGATGTCCCAAAATTATGGTACCTCCGGGAAATGAAGGGTTCATGAGGTCATTCCAAGTCATTTTTTCCTTAGCGCAAATGCAATCCGCGGCTTTGTTTACGAGTTATTGACGGAAAACACTGATCAATGAGAAGCGAGCTCGGCTGGCGCTAGGCGGCCGAGCCATCGAGCGGGCGACTTCCAGTTTCGTTCATTGGCTCTGCTCCACCTCGCGCCAGCCGATCTCGCTTCTTATTGATCAGTGTTTTTCGTTAATAACTCGTAAACGAAGCCGCAGATCGCATTTTCGCTAAGAAGAAAGTTACTTCAAACGACATCAGGTTACGCCATTTCTGGCTCATTTCTCGATTGCGAGTGACTTTTGGGGCACCCTGTATTGTATTCGTATTATATGAATGCCATTCATATCATTTTTCTCGTGCTTACATTAAATTCATATTATAAATCATACAAAGATCATGGTAGATCAAATTCTTCAGAAATGCAAATTCTTCACAAATTGAAGACGATAATTAGATGAAACACCTTGTACATTATTCGTACAGTCTCGAAAAGATTATGGAACATATTTGATTATATAATACAAATTACAAAGAATTCGGCCGATGTCGAAAGAAAATCTCAGAGAGGTCCTGAAGCAGGACCTCTTTATTTCGACCATGGTCTTCATTATATTAAATACCTTTTGGATTCCTACGATTTTTTTCTCTGGAACAACGAATTTGATATATTTATGGAAACGTATTTTAACGAGGTGTACGTTTTGATTGTTTCCGCAGCAAGACTTGTTCGCGTTCGAAATCTTAGGCGGTCATCTGTACCTTCACGCGGACCTCGGAAGCGGTTCCGTCAAAGTGAAAGCGTCGAAACAACGTGTCGACGATGGCACCTGGCATTACGTTGCACTTCGTCGAACGAAAAGAGAAGGACGAGTCACTGTCGACGATTGGGCAGTGGAGTTCCGCACACCTGGTAAGCGAATTCACATTTCTGCAAAACGGTTTCATGAAGAATGGAAACTAAGCAACTTGTAGACTCTGCGAGAACAATTTCGATACATATATGTTTTGAACTACATATATCCAAAATAAACATTGTCTAGGTTAATCATAAAAAACGTAAGTTAAATGTGATGTAAAATAATTCTTTTAAAAAATGTGACGAGTTGCAAAATAATGTGACGATATCCTTAAGGTCTTCTAAAGTTTTTCTAGCTTTCGATTTCACTTACTCGTTTCTCTCATAATTCCATAAAATTATGGTTAATGGTTAATAATTTATTAAATTAAATATAAATAAATATAGTAAATATAATATATATAATAATTATTATATATATAATAAATATAAATAATAAATATAAATAAATAATATAAGTAATAAATTTATTAAATTAAATTAAATAATTAATTAATTAAAATTATGGTTAATTATAAAATTATGATTTCCATAAAATCCGCAGTCTAATCATGACACTTTGATGTTAAAAATCACTTTTTATTGTTATCTAAACTCTCGCAACTTATGAATCAAACTCTCTGATAGGATTTACAAATTTGAAGAAATTTGCAAGAGTAGTTGTTGCAATAAATCTTCTTTATTTTCGAATTAGGAAGTAAATTTTTCTGATTATGCGAGACTTGCGTGAACACTGCTGGATCAGACAGTGCATTAACACTGCAACGGTGAAATGTCACACTGGAATCACCAAAAGTCGTTTAACTTATCGAAACACCTTTGCGAGTACGCAATTCGAGGCTACAAAATTCGAACTTCGAAAGAAGTTTGAAGGAGTCTTGCATTAGGAATCACTGTGCAATGCAGCTGCAAAAAAAACGGTGCGCAGAAAATGTTGACAGTGTCACAAGAGACCCTGAGTTACCGTTAAAAAATTAAATTTTATCAGATTCAACTCCAGGTCAAACTCCACACACACACACACACACACACACACACACACACACACACAATAATAATTAATATAAATAATAATCAAACTCCATAACTGTGGCTTGAAAAATTATAATATAGACGTCTAAATTATGTATAGACATATAAATAGTCGAAAAGCGTGTAGAATATTGAATAATTAGGAATAAAATAAAATGAAAGTGCAATGTTTAATGAAACCGAAATGTAAAAAAGCCAAAGTCCATTTCTAAGCCAGCAACGAATAAAGTAAATAAATACACAGAACTGTGGATCTTTTCAGGCGATGTAAAAGTTTCCAACGTCGAATGCAAAAAAAAAAAGAAATCGTCCAGATAAAAGCGTATTTCTTTAATTATTTTAACGAGTTTCGGCTATTTCAAGTCTCATCCGCTCATTGTCATGACAAACGCTTAAATTCCGCATTTCACTAACGACTCGCATAACTCTCGTCAAAGTGGTAGAAAATTAACAGTAAAAAGCCGCACTTACGGAGCATTAATGCAATTAGATGAACGAATGGTCTACTATAGTTTACCCGGGCGGCGCGTTATAACATTGCTTGTCCCTGTGTGTCCCGTGTCACCTTCACGCCGGCTCGCAACGCTTTAACATTCTTCCAACACACAACGTTCTAAATTCAGCTGAGCGCGGCGCGCGACATAAACGATGAAGCAGGAAAAAGCCGGGAGGTCGAGGAGCCGACCATTCATAATTTACCGTCACACACCCGGGGACACTTATCTGCAGCCGTAGCTAACCGTTTCACGCGTGAAACCTAATAAATCCCGCCGTTTCCTGCGTTTCTTTTTTCTCTACGTTCCCGTAGTTTTATTGCTGCTCGGATTATCCTCGTATGCGCGATGTAGACACGTACAATGGTGCCTCGTTTTCTGAACTACCGTTAGAAAATCAATTCTTGGGGCACAGTGATTAAAAACGCGACGAGATTTTCGGGCTACGGGGTAAATGAATTTAATATTTTTTTCTATGCTGTCCCTTATTTATTCGCGCCTATTATTATATATTATATATATATATTATTATATATTATTATATATATTATTATATATTATTATATATATTATTGTATATTCGCGCCTTTTGCACTATAACAACGAATCAGGTAATCGCACGTGACGATATCTATTGTGTTAGGCTCGTGCAAAAATAATGGGCGATTTTTATCTACCAATATTACAGCGATATACTTTTATTTACGATGAATATGTTCTCTTGATTTTCAATTTCGCACGTTTTCATTTACTTCGATACTAATTCGTTTCGTCTAAATCGAAACAAAATTTGATTTTTCTATCGTTAAAACTTACGGATGAAAATGAACGAAAACATACAAAATTAAAAATTAAAATAAAAACATTTTTATCGCGAATAAATGCGTATGTAATATTCAATGATAAAAATCGCCATTACTTTTGCCCTGACCTAACGCGATAAACGTCATTGTATCAAATAAATTACTTCCAAAAATTGCAATTTGTTGGAGAGACCCACAAAACGCATTCTTTCAATTTTTCATTCCAGGCTCGGTCAGACAAAAGAGTTCGAAAATGCAATTTTCTCATTTTTTTTATCCAACCAATTCTGCAGATTTTTCAAAAACTTTCCAAGCCATCGTCCAGTATAGTATAAAAGAAGTCATACCGTTTTAAAAAGTGTTTATTACGCATCTTGCGTCGCGTCAATTGCTCGTTCGCAGGACAAATCGTCTCCTCTGTGCGTTGAGATCGAAATCCCCGATGCACCGTGCCCGGAGAAGATTTCCGTGACCGCAGGAACACCCGAAATCCTCTTTGGCGATCTAATTTTTCCGAAACGGTTGTTGCCGCGTCGAAATTTAGCCTCGAACAACGGTTGCGTGTGTTTTTAAACGACGCGGTCGCTAATACAAAATAAGTTATCGAACCCATAAAACAGCGCGTATTTTCCCGGAGAAACCCGTAAATTCTGTGCTCGTAAAGTGGCCACCGGATGAAAACCGTATACGTACCGGCTGGAAAAATCACTCGACGTTAGAATATAACACGCTGCTGGATCGACAGGACGTGATATGTACGGGTTCGGCGGCGCACGACGACGGAATTCGAAAAGAAGACGCATTACAGAAACGGCAGAAACCGGGAAAGTGATTCCGTGGCGGATTCGGGCCGCCATTATTTGTCCCGGTCAATGGCGGGGAGGTTGCCGGCTTCGGCTGCCTCCATTGAAAACTTCCAAGGCTTTATTTATTTACCGGTTTAATAAAGCCGCCGTCCGCCCCGCGTTATCTGTGCTGCTCCGTCCGCCCTTTTATTCGACCTCTCCCTCGGTTGTCTCTCATTTGATATTAATTCCTCAAACTTAGTCGTTCGAGGCTGCTGAGTTTCGATTGACTTGCTAGGCCGGACACACCGGACATTTTTCCGCGGCCGGAAGTTCCGGTAAAACTTTTCTGCAATTATCGAGTCGACGGTATTTCAACAATCCGTTGCTCCGTGTGACTTCACCGCGACGTATGCATCGATGCACAGTTGTCAGGGAATTTGTGGTTTAAATTATTTTAGCTTTGTTTCAAGGTTTACGAGTATAGTGTACCTACTATAGTATAGTAGGTCGTTGATTTAATTTGTGCTTGTATTCAGTAAGATGTACCGATTAAATTAACGATATGCAATTATTTCCAAAAATTGCAATTTGTTGGAGGGACCTACAAAATGCATTCTTTCAATTTTTCAATCCTTGCTCGGTCAGACAAAAGAGTTCGAAAATGCAATTTTCTCATTTTTTTTATCCAACCAATTCTGCAGATTTTTCAAAAACTTTCCAAGCCATCGTCCAGCAAAGTATAAAGAAGTTACCGTTTTAAAAAGTGTCCATTACGCATCTTGCGTCGCGTCGATTGCTTCCTGTGATTTTCGTCAAAGGAAAAGTTCGCCGGACAAATCGTCTCCTCTGTGCGTTGCGATTGAAATCCCCGATGATAAATAATGAAATGCAAAATTCTGACTGTACATCGAAGTGGCTTGAATAGCGTGATCGACGTATGCAAAATTGTAATAGTCATCTCATAGAAAAAGCTGCTACTTGAGATTGATTCACCCTCGTTGATAATAGTTTGAGATAAGAAATGATAAGAAATGAACAGTTTTGTCCGCGAAATTTATGGCATCGTATCGACGAAAGTACAGAATAACTTACACGTGTTTGTCACTTGTGCAATCGGTTTACCCATTTATCGCATTTCGTTCATTGAAAACGTATGCCGGCGCGACGTAATTGGCATAGCCTTGACACGACACGCATAGTTTCCCGATATGTTTTCTTAACACGTTCCGTGCCGAGCTTTTTTTACTCGAATCTTCACACTTTGATATTTTACTAAAACTTGATCTATTACGTGCAATTATTAATTCTCGTACACATAACAACGTAACAAAAACTTATCAACGCCCATTCTTGCGGTGGAAATTGATTCTTCGGTTCTAAATTTCTTGTAAACAATTTGTTCAGTTCACTAAGTAAACATGCAAGCGTGTACCATCGATGGTACACGTGGCACGGAACGTGTTAATACGCGGAACATACTACAAAATGCACGGAGCCAAATAGGATCAGAAATGATCGAAAAATTAGTCCAAGAAGCGATTGAAAAAAACGCGATATGGATATATCGGTGAAAAGAAAATTCGATTTTCTTTTATAAAATGCTTGATAAAATTCTTATGAAATTGACGTTATTTTCATTACGATGTAAAATATTTCTACGCATTTGTTACAGTTTAATAGAATCAACTTCGGAATAAACTTCTGAAGAAATGAAGACAATTTTTTCTATCGGTTTTTCGAATATACATTTACTTTTCCGTAAGTGTTTTAATACTTCCGGAGAACGATGTCCTTTCCGCGGCGATCGTGGCTACGAAAGAAATGGTAGTTGAAGGGATTAACTGTTGGTAGAAGGAAAATAGCGAGAATGCTGTGAATAAGTTATTGGAGATAAATCGACAAAGAGAATATACAGGGTGTCCCAGGTTTTAATGTTC